TCGACCCCCCACGAAGATAAAGCTGTTTTTCTTCTACGGCCTAGACTGCAAAACAGTCGGTTTTTTCCTCAAAATCAGTAAAGAAATCGGTAACGCGTGGCGTAAGAGTCTTATGCGCGCGAACCGCACGAGCCTCACACGCCCGTAGGGCGTGTGAGGCGAGAGAGAAAAAAACCGACTGTCCGTTTTCCATACAATGAGTTCGTTCCGACCAGGGGGTTCAAAAATGTCGTCGAGCTGTCAAAAATCTGTTCACAACCCCGCCCTCTTTATGAAATTGATACACTCGGTGACTGATTTCGAGGGAGAATACCGCGTGTTATTGTCTGCACTTTGCTTCGAATCTTGACGCTGTAATCCGGTAATTCTAAAGCATTTTTTGGCGTTGCTTCTGTGTGAAATGTAGTATATATAGTGGAGGATCAAAAATGAGTGGAAGTGGCTGTACAACAACAAAGCCTGCCTGCTCCTCGAAGAGGGAGAAAGCCGAAAGTGCCAAGCGCTTCGGATAAATTGTAGAATGTGCGGCTGTTGTTTCAAAACACAGTTCGGCAATTCTACGAGTGGATGGATAAGATCTGAAAATGTGTTTGTTGCGCCTACCAGAAAAGGAGAAACGTTACCAAAGTGGGCCGACCTACAAAAAAACGAAAAGTTCGTTGTCCCCAAGGAAGTAGAATCTTTCTCCACAAGAGTTTTCTCCTCGTGCGGAACAAAGGTTAGAAACTGCCCCGGGAAACTGCACGGCGATGCTTTCGCAAATTAGAGAAGAACTGAACACGCCAACTGACAATGAACAATTATTGCGATTGAAAAGAATGAGTAAATCCCCTCATTCCAATCCACGTCTTGGTGATTTAGCTCTGTAAATCACTATCTGTGAGAATTTAAAATCCTGCTACTAAAAAACCCTAACGAGCTTGGCCCAGCGTGACAAAACATTGCAGGAAATAGTCACATTCACGGACATAAAGAAAATCGCTTAAAATTATTCAAATCCAGGAGGCACTTTGGAGAAATAAAACAACCTAAAACCCTTAATCAGCCGCAATGAAGAGCTTGACATTCTAAAGGGGCCAAGAAAGAAAACGGTCTTGCATCAGAGGGCAAATCATGCCGACTAGAGAAAATCAATATGCGTGTCACGACCTGTCAGTATGAAATATATTTAATAAGCGGCCAAAATTCACGATTGCTCAGTCAAAACGTTTTCCTCCAAAGCATAATCTACTCGAAAGAGAAAACAATTCATTGGAACAAGCAGCATTTTTGCATCAGGTGAAAGTCGTGTGTTTCCTACCGATCCCCCTTTTTTAGCTAGGCAAGTTGCACACCTTTTGTTTGACTGCTCGCGCGTACTTGAATACGCAAAAATACGGACTGTTTTGCAGTCTATCTACGGCCACGCATTTTAATTCTTAAAGTTGCAAAAAACTTTCGAGAAACTTTCTTTCGAGGCGTTAAATTAATTAGGGTTGAAATGATGTAGTCACATGAAACGTGACGTCATAATGATATTCAAAAAGAAATTCAAAATGGGGTAGGAATGGTTGATTACAACACAGGCGGCCCAGACTTAGTATGTGTCACTGAATGAATATATTAATATTCACATGGACAAATTAATGCGATGAGTCGTCGAAACTCCAATGAACTAAAATAGTCCAAAAATCAAAATACAACAAAATAAAGCTAAAATACCTTTAACTGAACGTATCCTTGTCTTTCCTGGCCGGTTAAAATGGCATTTTGTTGAGTTTTGCAATTGTAGGTACTATCCACTAAAGAAGAATTAAAGACTGGCTACAAAACAAACGGACCATCTCCACGCGCCTTCACACGAAGCGCTATAAATTCAAGAATAATCGACGAATCCGCTCCAAATTGCCATCGGCTAATCTGCAGGTAACATGGGCTCCTGCTTCTTGCTCGCTGTTTTCACAAAACCCATCGCAACTACACAATAATCGCTCACTCATCAACAAACACTGTTGACCTTTACGCTTCGATATGACCGCAAACTACCAGGTATAATACGCGACGTGAATATTCAAGCTTAGCGACCGCGATCGCGCAACAATGCAGCACTTGCTATGGGAGGGATGGTACTATTGCTTCTAGGTCAATCGACACTGACCGAAGGTTCGCTGCGTTAGTTTTGACCAGAAAACAAAAGGCGATCGCGCGACCGTCCGTAACTTTTCAACAGGGCGGCCCTGGTTTTCAAGTTCGAATTCTTCAAACGTTCGCTGTCACAGCTGCTGTCACATTGTTCGTCCAGCTGCTTGCATAGGTTCACCTATTTGCTTGGATTAATTAAATAAACAATTCTTTCCAGAACTACGTCTTACTCTACAAAATGTTGTCCAAACTGGTGAGGGAGGCGAGGATTTTCCGCCTAGGAAAAAGGAAAAATCTGGCCTCGGCTATGCAGGTGAATAGAATCGAGAATAGAAGATACAGCTGAAGATATGGTAAAGTAAAATTTATGTGCACGATATCTTTTTTTTATTGTTATTATTTTCAAAACTCAGTCAACTCAGCGGCACCCAACGACGATTTCCCCCTAAATGCATTGAAAACACTTTTAAGGCTGTCCAGAGTACTTTAGATCTCTAAAAATGCGTTCTAAGCGGCGCTAATACATAGGTTTAGTCAGGAGGGCTAAAAGCGAAGCTCTAGATAATATTTATAGTTTGCTCATACTAAATTTAAAATCGTGTAATGCTAAGTGGAGAAGGCAACGAGACAAGGGCACCCAACGACAGTTTCCTCAAATACATTGAAAACACTTTTTTAGTCATAACGTACTTTTAGCTTGGTATCTCAGTGTTCGGCCATTGTAGGGGAACTTGAGTCTTTTCAAAATTACGAGGAATTCAGGATTATTTTCCTGAAAAAGTTAGATGCAATTTAACGTATTACGAAGGAGATAATTTTTCAGATTCCTTCTTTCATCACATTTTTGAATCCGAAAATTTTAGGATTCCTTCTTATCTACGAAAAATAGCCTAACCCGGGAGTGAAATGTGAAAAATTATTCAGAAATCGTAGGGAATTTATTAGCATGATTAGATGAGCTTCGAAAATTGTACATGGATGAAATGGTCATCTAGAAATGTTTTGCCAAGTGACAGCTGAAGTGAAAGAAAATTCTAGGCAAAATTTGCTTCTCCGAACAGATATTTTACAGAAAACAGTCGTTTGATGCCCAGAGTTGTGAAAAACAACAATAGGTCTAATTGCAGCACACTTTTTTGTACATTTCCTTGCCTTTGATTGCATGACTATAACGTGAAACGTCCTGTTCACGTTTTTATGGAGGAAATGTGGTACATGTTCTCGTTCACTTTTTCCAGTGCCGCTCATTTCTTTTAGCTCCGCTATAAAATTCGTATCTGTTCGGATATCCTAGGGCAAATTGGATCTTTTTGAAAATTACAAGGGCTTCAATATTATTTTCCCGATTGATTGACCTAGAAGCAATAGTACCATCCCTCCCATAGCAAGTGCTGGATTGTCGCGCGGACGCGGTCGCTAAGCTTGAATATTCACGTCGCGTATTATATCTGGCATCCTCGGAGACCCAGGGGCAGTTAGTCGGGTCGATAAAATGTTCGTGGTGAAAGTTTACTGTAAGATCGAGACGAGCCCCTGGGCACTTACTCTTACCGAACCAGTTCCAGAAGCGTTTGAATTGCCTGCTTCTGATTGGCCAGAAAAAAATTTTTCTGGCCAATCAGCGAAGAGAAGCTGCCGGATGACTCTCGCGGTTTCTTTCACGACGTAGTTTTCCTCATCGACCGCCATAGTTGCGTAGCGCGTTCAACGGGGAAAGTTTCTCGACGAAAGTTTCAGAACAAAATGTTAACAACCCGCAAAATTGCAACCTTTAGCACGGCTACAAGAAACGATGAATTTTTAGGGCGGATCTTTCCAAGGTATCGTAAATTGTTATTGCTGATACGATACAGCTCGATACGCGATGCATGACTTTCACTTTCCACACCTTAATTTGTTCACATTGTCTAGTATACAACACCAAGCTTACATTTTAGATGTCCATGTTCGTTGCACGACTTCTGAAACTTTCTACAGCGTGAAAATTTCCGTTGCACGGGCCACGCAACTACGTCGATTGATCGTGGGAAATGCCGGGCTTACAGCAGTTGACCGTACTAATTCTGCCGAAGTTGATAGTAGTGTTAACTTTAGATTCGAGGGAGACCTCCAGCAAGCGCTTGAAGAATTAGAAGGCTTGTCTTTGTTTCCTGTGGTACAGTGGTACAGTTCAAAGCGAAGCAAAGATTTATTATTGAGAAGATTGTGGAAAGAAGAGATGTTTTTGGGCATTGATAGAATAGTCTATCCTTCCAAATGTTGCCTATAAGCTAGGGGGTTTAAAAATCGTTAGATGCTAAAGGTTATGAATTCCCTAGTAATCCATTGGTCATAGTGATTTCACCTCTCATGTCAATTTTTGTGGACCAGGTTAAGTACTCGAGGTCACTAGGAATTTAGGCCGCTTTCTTAGGGGAAAGCAAAACAAAAGATCAGAAACATTGAATGGATAGGGAGCGTTTTCTTTGTTGTATGGAAACCCGGAATCATTAACTGGGGGACAAGAATGTTCTTTAAGGAGTTTTACCAGAAGAATCCTGTTACAGGTACATACAGCTGTTCATTGGTAAGTATGCTGATTTGTTTACTAGGAAGGTTGCTACAATGAATTCATTGTGGGGAGTTCTGAAGGGGTAAAATGGGATGTTGTTGCTCTGGAAAAATGGGATTTAAGTCACTGGCAGGGGGATTCTATCACTGAGAATGGGAAAAAAAATGTAAAAAATGGGAATTGAGGGTTAAACAGTTTCAATGGGATTGATATCCCCCCTTCAGGACCCTCAATATACTTAACAGTAGATCTGGCTTTTATTCAAGGATGCTCAGTAATCTTATGTCTAAAAGCTGACAAACTTTTCACAAGAATTGTCGTGCTTTTTTTGTCACCATTTATTGACAATTGAAAGCTGATGAAGTAAGCCTTGTGACTGCTTAAGATAATAGTGCGATTGAACATTTACATATTATAAATGGAAAAACACCCCATAATACAGAACTACAGATGCCATTACATGAATTTTATTTTTAAGCTGTTGAGATTTTTTTACTTACTTCTTTATTGGAGTTCACATGTCTACTTATAATACTGCTTGAGTTATATAATATTTTATTTTATTTTAATTTGTTGTTTCTTTCTGTCCCAAAGGGTTTGTTTTACTAGGTGGCCAACAAGTATACTTGAGTATATTATTTGAAAACTATCTAGAAAAATGGGGTGTGCATTATATTCGGGTGCACATTATACACAAGTAAATATGGTATACCTACATATAACATACAAAAACTGTTTTCCAACACTCTCTGGAAAATAGGGAACTGTGCTGAAATTGTCTCTTACTATTTTCGATAATTCTAAAAGTCTTTCTTCTTTTAGATTTCATTAAGCGTACAACCTGTAGAAGAGAAAAAAACTCCTTCCTTTTTTGATGACAGTAATGAAAACAGCAGAATCATTCCAAGCCACTTATGTTGCGACATCAGCGCCAAAGACTGTTAGTCTGCTTAAAGAAAATCAATGATCTGTGACAGGAATTCAAGAATCAAATCTTCACTGTTTGTATTCTAGAATTTGTATTCTCTGATTGTCTTCTACACGAAACAATAATTGATAGTTGTAATACGTTATGTTCTGTGGAAAGTATTTTAAAGACACTGTGTGGAATGGTGACCATGCGATGAAGATTTTTACCTTTCTGAAGAGGGTGTTTAAAGATTTAAAAATAATTATCAATGAAGAATATTATTGTCAGATGAGGAGAATTATGATAGGGAAGTTATGAAATATCAAACAAATGCACCAAAGGAAAATTGTTAATATGGCAGCATTATTTTTTCAAAATAAGTCCAATCTTGTACCATCAATTCCAAGGGAGTTAAAACAATGGCACTGTGGATGTGTTTGGGGGGGTCAGTAAGGGGAAACATCAAGTCAATCATAGATAAATAGTTTGGCAAAACAAAACCAATATTATGTGAAATTACTTTGCATGTATCTTATAATAAAAATTCATTTCTACTATATTAGCCATAATTCTAATCACAGTGAAGATTAACCCAGGTTCTCTTATGCGGTTTAGTAAGCCAGAGACCCAGGTCCTTGAAATCAAGAGCTGAAGTTGGATCTTTGGAAAGTGTCCCTATTGCTTGGTCTCTTCTCCCTGGAATTTCCTTGAGAGAGTTCACTTCTTGTAAAGTTTTAGTGACTACAAAAATATCTATATGGACATCCCACCCTTCCACGATTTCTCAACTCTGTACCTACACGTGTCACACACTGCGCGTTTATTGCCCTCCAAAACTTTCACACCAACCACTTTCAAACATTTTCGCAAGCTCACCTTTATTTTTTTTTCTTCACTTATCCGTCAAAATAAACCCACACAACCTGCAAAAATCGACCTCACTTAACAAGTCAGGATTCAGCACATAACCGGACCGAGATTTCGAACTAAACACAACGGCTGTATTTAAAATACGTACGGTAAGGGATCGAGTTTGGCGCGAAAGCAAGAAGGTGCGTGTACTGCAGCAAGCCAGCAATTCCCACGATCAATCGACGTAGTTGCGTGGCCCGTGCAACGGAAATGTTCACGCTGTAGAAAGTTTCAGAAGTCGTGCAACGAACATGGACATCTAAAATGTAAGCTTGGTGTTGTATACTAAACAATGTGAACAAATTAAGGTGAGGAAAGTGAAAGTCATGCATCGCGTATCGTATCAGCAATAAAAATTTACGATACTTTGGAAAGATCCGCCCTAAAAATTCATCGGAGAGTTTTTGTTTCTTATAGCCGTGCTAAAGGTTGCAATTTTGCGGGTTGTTAACATTTTATTCTGAAACTTTCGTGGAGAAACTTTCCCCGTCGAACGCGCTACGCAACTACGGCGATCGATGAGGAAAACTACGTCGTGTAAGAAAACACGAGAGTCACCCGGCAGATTCTCTTCGCTGATTGGCCAGAAAAAAATTTTCTGGCCAATCAGAAGCAGGCAATTCAAACGCTTCTGGAACTGGTTCGGTAAGAGTAAGTGCCCAGGGGCTCGTCTCGATCTTACAGTAAACTTTCACCAAGAACATTTTATCGACCCGACTAAAAAGCAGGAGCCCACGTTACCTGCAGATTAGCCGATGGCAATTTGAAGCGGATTCGTCGATTATTCTTGAATTTATAGCGCTTCGTGTGAAGGCGCGTGGAGATGGTCCGTTTGTTTTGTAGCCAGCCTTTAATTCTTCTTTAGTGCATAGTACCTACAATTGTAAAACTCAACAAAATGCCACTTTAACCGGCCAGGAAAGACAAGGATACGTTCAGTTAAAGGTATTTTAGCTTTATTTTGTTATATTTTGATTTTTGGACTATTTTAGTTCATTGGAGTTTCGACGACTCATCGCATTAATTTGTCCATGTGAATATTAATATATTCATTCAGTGACACATATTACGTCTGGGCCGCCTGTGATTACAACTAAGTTAGAACCATGTGTAAATGTTTGTTTTACCGTGCGAATTTTTTCCGTGGCTGGAACGGAGAGAATTTTTAATTTCTTAAAAATATATTAACGGGTGAAAAGTGTCACGTGACCAATTTTGCTTAATTACTAATTAAACAAAAACGTGAGTCAACCATTCCGGCCCGGATTCAAGCGAGAAATGATGATCCAATTGTCGTAGATTTGTTTGTTATATAATTTTACAGTTGTTTTGTTACATAAGTTAAGTTTTAGGATGACACTTTGTGTAAGCGTACTTCGCATGTCTCGCTTGCGAAATAGCACGTGTATTAGGGGGTCGCAATAAAAGTTCGTTTTGCATGAACTACTAGACTCGAATATACTTCAACAATAACAAAAATATTGTATTTAATATATACTGTGTGGCATCTCGCCACCCCATTTTTAGTTTTCTGTTCTTTCCTGGACTCGACTATAATTGGTCACGTGACACAGATATCTGATTTCTTACGTTACAGGAAAATGAAGGTTACCGATTTTTCCGAGATTGCCAAATTTTGGAAGGTTCTGATGAATTTTCCCAAAGTTATGACCATTATAAGATTTTATGCAAATTAGCCTCAGGTCATGCCTTAACATGCCTGAGTTTAAATATTGATAAAGTTTTAATAACTAAGGAGGGCAAAATCATTATACACTGTAGTTGTAAACTTGAGTATATAACATCCCAGAAAAATCAGTACCCGACAAAACAAGCCAAACAATCTATTCGCTTTAAATTGAACACTTTGAACTCTTTAGAACAAAATCCTTCTTGGTACTTTTTCCTTTGGCTATTTTTTCTATATGATGTCGAAACTCGCTTAGCTACCACCCAAAATGTGAAGATTTAGGGCTCTCTTGCGGGAAAAATTACGAGAAAGCTTGGCAAGAGTTAATCAGTGATGGACAAAGTGACGTACTTGAACTGTTAGGAATAAAAAAAACTTTCTGCGGCTAGGTAATCAGCATTTAGAGATATGTTTCATATTTTCCCAAATCAATGCTTATCACTCCTGTGATCTTCACATCGTTTGTTGCTGCGCGCTTAATACCTACCCCCATTCCAATTAAATTGTTTTTTATTGCATTTGCTCATGTATCCCCATGTATTCCCATGATCATGCATTTTGATTTCAGAAGACGAATCTCTCGATGGTAGAAAAGCAAAACGACTTAAATTAGACGAAGATCAAGAAAAATCATTTTACATTCAGGAATGGCATGCTAAACAGTCCTTCTACATCCCACATAGCGATAAAAACAGCATAATATCAGAAACATGCGACAGTGGAATAGGGTCATCATTGTATCCACCGTCTGAGCTCGGAATAGAAGACACCAGCGGTAAGCTCAGTTAAACTTTCTAATTTCCTTGCTTTCTGTGGCTATAAAAACACCTGATCCAGACATCACTTTTTGTCTGTCTTACTCTGTGTGACAAAGGTATCAAACAAAGAACGTTATCCTCTACACTTTATATCTAGCATTTATTAGAAATAATTTAAAACACTGCGTGTGTAGGATAGCTGATATATTTCCCGTTCAAGTTGTAGATGGTGTCACATACTCTGCAATAACAATAACAACAATGTATTTTTAATTATTTAAAGAATCATGAAGTCTATAATTCTTTATGCCCTGCAAATAGCTATTAATGCTAATAAAGCAGGACAACAATTTTGAATAAAGGCGTCATTGAATAACACAAGAAAAAAGGAAGAGAAAAGAAATAGAACAACACGCGCAGAAAAAAAAAAAAACCCACACAAACTCAAGCACAGGGGTTTTGTTATTTTAAAAAAAGACTAAAATTACAACTGTAGGTATATACAACGTATCAGGTTAACTTCAATCGAGGCAATTTTGCTATGCTTTTTTACACTAATCTACATTATGATGTTTAAAACATCGGATAGAAAAAAAGGGGCTCCAAAAATTGAATCGTGCGGAAAATAGATAAACATTTGTTTCTTTTTTACATGAAAAGTGCAAGAAAAAGCGGAGCAGTCATTTCCCGTTCTTGCGGACGTACTGTCTAAATAAGAATTACAACCGTATCTACAGCGAAGGTTTAACTTTATTTTCTCACTAATTTTATGTTGGTTGTTAAGAATTTACTTTTCCCTTGAATTTATAGATTTCCGTTCTAAACTATACCTGAAAGATCTAAATGAAGAATTGACTACAGAATTCGCGTGGAGGCTTCAAGCTGACCCAGTTGCGCTTGAGAGATTTTGTAAATCATTTGGGCTTAATTCATCACAAGTGACTGAATTAACTACGACAGCACTCTTGAAAATTTTTCCTGATACTTCAGTTAATTCTTTAAAAGACGTTTTGAAAACGTTAAAATTGTATGACCTCGTTGAGATTTTGGAAGAAGCAACAAAACCACGTGCACTTCGTCCCAGGCTTTCCCTAAAAGAAATAGAAAACTTAACTTCGGATGTTAGTAATCGTCCAACAAAGTTTTACAATAGAGCGGAGGTTTTGATCATCAATTTCTTTGAAAGCGATCCTGAAGAAGGAGCCGAAGAAATCGGATCTTTTTTTCAAGAAATAAATTCAGAAAACGGAGTAACTTCATTGACAGCAAATACTTCTGGGAAATTGTTTGAAGATTTGGCAAAGTTGAAGGAAAACACTTCTAAAAAAGATAACGAAATAATGCAAGCTGAACAGATGGAGAAGTCGTTACAAGACAAACTGGAGAAGATGGCAGCGCACAGTGGATCTTACGAAGAGGAGCAAGTGATGCAAAGACAATTAAAAGAGCTTGCAGAGGGGAGGAAACAGCTGACGAAAGAAAGAATTCACATTAACGAGGAGATGAAGAAAAAGGAAGAGGAACTTAACAGAGAAAAAGAAAAGTTCAAATTGGCTGTTACAGATGTCGTCGACAAATGGATCGAACAGTCACATGACGGTAAGTGGATACAGTGGACTCTCTTTAATACGGTCACCAATGGGCCAAAACAATTTGGCCATATTAACGGGTGACCGTATTAACGAGGGTTTTTTTTTCTACAAGAAAATGTATGGCCGTTTTGCCGCGCGGCCAAAAAAAGTGACCGTAATAACGAGGTGACCTTATAATGATTACTGAGGTGGCCGTAAGGCGGTGTTCCACTGTAGTTTGCATTGCATCAATCATGGCACTTTGACGACGGGCTGGAAGGGGAAGGCTCTTATATTGATTGAAGAGAGAAGTCTCAAACGCGAGTGAAAACTTAACATGGGGCGGCTCTGTCCCAAGGTCCAACCCCTTACCCTTTTAATATATAGCATTTTTAACAGAAAAGGTTCCCTTTTTTATTTACCTTCTATTTAACAAATGGTACCCCTTTCACATACCTAGTTTAGAACTCTTACTAACTACTGTAAATCAGTGCACTGTCTTTAAAATATTGAAATTACAAAATCAAAACGTTTCTGAGACCTTTCCACAGTCAGAAAATACATTTGCAAGCCCTTTTGGTCCTTTTTACAGACCGAAACGACCGTCCTTACCAAACCATATGTATTTTGAAACTGATTTTAAAGTTTCGCCCCTGTTTGAAATATATCTTGAGTGTAGTTAAATTGTATTTCATTAAAAGGAAAACCTCTCTCATCAATTTACAATGTATTTTGTTTAATAAATATGAGTAAAATAGGGCATTTAAAATCTATTTTGGGCATAGAAGCACTAACACTGTTACAAACAGAATTCAGATAGACTATTTGAAATATGTTTAAAGGGCTTTATGCTGACTGTATTTTAAATCCTTTTAAATAGGGTACTTTAACGCTGTATTGAGTTGTATCTAAAATGTATTTTGAGACGCATCCACTCACAAAGTTACAAACATAGTTAAATAGACTATTTGAAATATGTTTTAAAACCTTAAGGTGACTCGACCCAGTCTTTTTTTTGGGGGGGGGGAGGGGGGGTACCATCCTACTTTGAAGCTCTCTGGTATCCTCACCTTTACTTTTATCGTAAGTCTAACACATAGAATGGATAACATATAGATCAATCTACAATATAACATAAAATTTTTGGTGATAGTAGTAAATGTCACGTGGTTATAATGCCACGCCCTTTTGAGGTCTGTGTCGAAAATCTGCTGTTGCCGGCATTTTTTCGTGAAAATCTCTCGGCTACACATAGTGCACGTTAGTGCCTTGCGCTGAACAGAGTTTCACCAAAATCGCAAAGACCCAATTCGAGAAATTTAGCGGTTTCCAAATTTAGGTCATAATTAATTTATGCGAAAATGATAAGCAAACTTTACACGATTATATCTAATAAACTATGAGACTTATCCTTTATTTCGGGCATCGTTATAACAGATGGGTCCTTGCAAGTCAGCAAAAAGCTTTAGGGCCTTGTAAATGCGCGCGATTTCGAGCAAAGCAAACATATAGAAATTATAGTTTTAGCAATTTGTTGACGTTTGTCAGCGTTTAAGAGTCCTTCTCACGAAAAAAGCATTTTCTTAAAAATTCGTAGTTTTTTCCCTTCAAAATTTTTCATTGTATGTTGTTCTTTATCAGCCAATAGTTAATGTTCAGGCGTAGCCTGCAAGCTTCTGATTTGAGTAAAGCCGTGAATATAATAAACAATGTAAGCTACATGTATGTAGATTATTATTTACCGAAAACGTGAGTAACGCAACACCCTTTTGAAGTCGAAGATTGATAGCCTGTGTACAGACCCCCCTCCCCTTCGATTTTTATTGAGGGGAGGGGGTCTGCACACAGGCTAACTAATGATTTCAGCATTTCTGAAAAATTCCATAAGAATTTCCAGAGAATTCGTTGGGAAATCAACGTAAAGTAATCGGCTAAGCGATAATTCTCGTGAAATCCTAGCCTAGGACTGTGTGGAGAAATTTCGCAGAGGTAAATCTTGCTTTTTCAGAGTAATTTTCGACAGTTTTGTATTCATTTTATTTCATGAATTTAAATGGTATTTCCATCCTGTTTTTGTACTGTTTTTATGCTCTTTCGACCGATTTTTGTACTGTTTTCAGACAACTCTAAGGCTATTTTCTTACAATTTTATACTGTTTTTGCATTTTTGCATCCTGTTTTTAATGTATTTTCACAATATATGCGAGCTATTGCTTTTCTTCTTCTGTGGTATTTTAATACTATTTTCAAGTATTTTTATTGTATTTGCAAATACGAATATTTTTCTAAATTTCGAAACCGATTAAACAGCTATTAAAATATATTTTGAAGCATAACATTTTAACAGCGTTTTAAACAGGTTAAAACACCTTTAAAATCAGTCGAAAAATATATTAATTTTAAAGCTGTTTTTTTTTTCAAAATACGTTTAAAATCGCCGTTAAAAATAGCTTTAAAATAGTATAGCAAATTGAAATATGTTTCTGAAACTGTTTTTATCCTGTTTTTATTCCGATTTATAACGTATTTAAAAACTGTTTTAGACCTGTTTTGAGCCTTGCAAAAGCCCTGGAATTTTTTATATATTTTAAACGAATTTTAAAATACTTTAAAATTCTTTTTTAATAGCGTTTTAAACAGGTTAAAACACCTTTAAAAGCAGTCGAAAAATACATTAAAAATACACTTTTCACCGTATTTAAAACCTATTTCACAAAACAAGTTAAAAACAGTTTTCAAAATAGCTTAAAAATACATTCAAAACAGTGTTGGATTTGGTAAAGGAGAGGCCGCGTGCGGCGGCCCGCCGTTGTGTCACAAAGTAAATCTACCGAGTTGTGTAGCTCGGCAGCCGTTGTGCCACAAAGTGAATCTACCGAGATGTGAAGCTCGGCGGCGCCATTTGATCATGACTTGTGATCTTTTCGGCACCGGACAAACTTAGGAAAAACTTATAAACCAGCCCAGAGTAGCGCCACTCTCGAGTCACTGAAATCAACACGCTCGACCAAATTACTGGAAAAGTTATTGACGTGAGCCCCACACATATACTGAAATAACAAGTAAAATCACTACCCATTCATATATCTGAAACCTCCCTGTATAGCTAGGCCATCAATTTTAGGAAATATCCCACCCACCCCTGGATTAGTGAGGATAAGTTTGTCGGTCGGCTTGCCGAAACGCTAAGAATAATGTTTTCCTTTCCTCGTAGATAAGAACTCGACCCTTTTCGTCGTATTTTCTTTGTTCAACGGTAGTGCTTTCAAGGTATGGGCACAGGAAGGTGTGCAGTATATGAGAATGATAGAAGCTTGTTTGACAGAAAAGTTGAAACTCATTCAAGACACGAAGCTTCTGATAACTGGTTTGTTATCACAAGTAAAAGAAATTCCCAGCGAAACTCTTCAAGTGTGTAATTTAGATCTCCGCGGTATTCCAACCATGATGCTAGAGATTCTGAAAAAGCGAAGGCATACATTGGACCTCATTTCAATGATGCAGGAATTACAAAGGACGTGCATTGAGAAAATATCTCTTCAAGAACCTCAACTTTCGAGGAAATTCAGGGGAAGTATTAAAAGTTTAGGGCAGAGTATCAGAAAGAAAGTAAGAATACATGAAAATTTGTCTTGTCTTCCGAGGCTTCAGCTTGATGACGGGACAAATGTTAAGGAATTATGAATAAAGCACGCGGCTCTCTTTTCTTGAAGAGCTCCATACATTGTACCATATGAACAAGTGTTACTGGGCGTAGTAATATTTTTTGTAGTCTATAACTAGACGTCTTTAGAGCAGACATTTTTGTAATATAGTTGCGTTTTAGTGAGACCCCGTTTATGAGGATGAAATAAAATAAAAGAAACACGAGGGACGTGAATTACATCTCCGATGATAACGAAACAGAGGAACGAAAAGTTCAATTGATTGACTGTGACTTTGCCTTTCTCCTGGCCTTCCAGCATAGTTGAATAATTTATCGGCAACTACTTAATGCTAGGATAGATAGATTGTGGTCAACAAATGAACGTATTAAAGAGATGCCATCTTATTTTTCCTCACGGAGCTATTAAACGCACCCGTATCTTTTCCCTTGGACAGTTTCAGAAATGTACTGAGTTTTATCACTGGTTTTTATAACTAATATCATAGGTGACGAATTACTCCTTAATTTTGGCGAGAAATTTCAGCGTTAATTCGTAATTTCACATGTGAAATGACAAAATTGCCATCATGATCGCAACCTTTCGCACTTCTCAGTGCCAAGATGGCGACGAAAATTTATAAAGTTATGAATAAAGATGTTAGGGCATTGAAGACCCATTAAAAGACGCTTTAGTAAACCTAAGCACACGAAAAAGCACACCAAGAAGGATTTTAACAGGTATTTTGTCAAAATATTCTGACAATTTTGAACTGAAGCCAAATTTAGGCTCTTAATTATAACTTTTGAGAGAGTGGAATTCTCGTCCTCGGTCGATATGATCCAGGGTAAATATCTCAAAAATCCAGGATTGCAAACTTAATTCGTCACCCATGATATTATTAGGTAATCAAATGGTATACTCGTAAAATTAGGGAATAATTTCACTTGCGTTTTGTCCAAATCCTAATATATCACAGTAACTAGGATTTGGACAAAACGGGCGTGAAATTATTCCCTAAATTTGATTACACATACTAATATTTGCAAATTTCACAATTGTATTTACTGTATAATAACAGCATTTGTCTCCTATTTTCTAGTCTTGTAAATTTTATTAATCTTTGTTCGTTTAGGATTGATTAAGAAGTTTAGAAAAAATTACGTAGTATATTACTACGGGAATGAAATGAAGATAGAACTTTTCGTTAAGTTTGCAACTTGAAAAACCCCTAGATCCCGGGGTATATATAGACTAAACAAGTTACATTTTTATAATATGTAGGTATATAGTGTGAAAATCGCTTAATGTTTAATTATCTGTGGTTTACATAAACTACGAGTAGTCCCCATTTTTCCTCAGGGATAGTAGAGCGAGCGAAACGCGAGCGCACGTGAAAGTCACCCCTCGTGAGAAAGGCGAGACGTAGCCGCTCCTTTCGCTTGATCTACTATCCCCAAGGAAAAATTGGGACTACTCGTAGTCTATGGTTTACACAAAACGAAGGAAATAATAGCGCGATAAAGAGGCCAGTATTATCGATTTCTTCGTAACAAGAGAAAATATAGTGCTCTCAAGCATAGTTGACCATAGCTTAAGTCGGAATTTGTAAACATGGTGCTTGCTACAATCGTTTTACTTGCTACCGTAGATAACTTTGCTTCTCAGTTTTCCTGTAGCCGATAAGTTTTGAATTAGTCAATAAAGAGGTGAGCAAAAGCCACCTGATGCCTCTTTAATGTTTCGTTTGTGACCACAGGTAGCCCAAGCTCGAAATATGAGCATCGGCGAACATCGGCATTGTTGCGTAACATTCGAAATATAAAGATTTGTACGGGAAAAAAACCTATCGTTTCTGTAACCTACGAAAATGAAAGGATTTCAATAAAAAAAAAACAGCATACCTTACTTAAAATGTGTGTTACGTCTCTCCTGTGTGGTCCACGGGCCGATTTATGGCCGTTAATGGCCATAAAATGGCCATAAATCGGCCCGTGGACCACACAGGAGAGACGTAACACACATTTTAAGTAAGGTAAGCTGTTTTTTAGCGAAATCCTTTCATTTTCGTAGGGAACAGAAACGATAGGTTTTTTCCCATACAAAACCTTATATTTCGAATGTTACGCAACAACGCCGATGTTCGCCGATGCTCACATTTCGAGCTTGGGCTACCTGTGATATAACCCCCTTTGAGTCGGAAAATGACACACCTAGGAAAAAAACAGCATCTCATGATGAGGCCATCTTATCATAAGATTCCTACGACTCCTAGGAAATCAGAAAGCAAACTGCCAAAAGATCGAGTCCGATCCCTAGAACAAGGACTAAGCCACAGCACCAGCGAAAGTTCAACAAACTTGTAATCTGACTATGATGATACGAGCTACAGGAAATGTTTCGTCCAAATAATTAAAGGCAAAGCAGATAATATAAATCTGCTAAAACGTCTGAAGCGTGGCTAAAGAAATTTCAAGTGTATTTTAACAATTTGACATTTAAGCCGAAAGGAAAGCGCTTCAAAGTCACTAGCTGAGGCTAAAGAATGACAGCTTTATTGCTGGCAACAGACGGAAAATGTCTCCCCCAGAATTAAGTATGAGGATTTTGCGATGAAATAAACAACTTTTCAAACGTCCAGAAATTATAACCTTTTAGGCAGCCAAACCATGAGACCTATAGCTAAGTGTGAGCACAATCTTTGAGGCTTTCTAAGAAAATCACCTAAACTAAACACTCACGAGGCGTTTTTATGCTTGGCACTGCTGAAGTATTTTGGTGACACGAGCTCAACCACATACCTGAGTTTTATCTGTCAACGCCTTCGATAAATCACACAATGAATGATCAAAACACTTCCTGGTCAGAAATCAGCTTCAATTTCCATCTTGCCGAATAGATTTCACCCCTAGAACCTACTTCGTGAGGCCAAAGACTTTCCACTGCCAAGAAAAAAGCTAGCAAACTCGTCCCCAGGGCGCTTTTCCCTGGCTTTGGAGGCCAGGGAAAAGCGCCCTGGGGACGAGGTTGCAAAGCTCGCAATATCTAATTTTTTTGTCTCAAGCCCGGGATCAGTCTTTCACCCGTGTGGCCAAATAAGACGAAAAACGAGAAGATTTTGGACGCAGCAGACTTTGCCAATAGCGAGACTTGTTCCTTGAGAAGGTTTAATGATGCCCTCCAGAGAACTTTGCTCAAGGCAGGCAGCCTAGCCTGCGAAAACAACATTCTGTTTCGACTCGCTCTTCGCCGCCGGGGACGTTTCGCGAGGAGGAACGTCTGCGACTCAGCGGCTAGCCTGCGTGGCAGGCGTTAAAAGGGGAAGGGAAGGGGGAATTTGGGCGCGCGAGGGAGAAAGCCTTTCCTTTCTCCCCCGCGCGCCCAAATTCCCCCTTCCCCTTTCCCTTTTAACGCCTGACACGCAGGCAACTCAGCGACAGAAATTCCATACTGATGACGCATATCAATGTTTACATAATAAATCCGGTAGTCATGAGGTTCCAAATATATATTTGTCCAATTTTACGTGTCTTCTGGTCGATTTTGTTAGTGTTGTGTTCATCTGCCAACGAGCTCCAGCTAGACTCAAATGCTTCTTCTGGAGAGGACTATATTCCACAAATATTGGCTGTTTTGTTAGTGATTCTTCGCGTTCACATTGACCTTTGTGGCCTTTCGTCTTTTGTCTGTCATTCGTAAACAATTGCTAAAACAAGGTAACTACCACTTCGACTAATCAGCGCACCGGATTCCGGACAGATTTTACGTCATCAGTGTGGCATTTCTGCCACTGAGTCGTAGACGTTCCTCCGCGCAAAATGTCACCAGCGGCGAAGAGCGAGGAGAAACGCAGGCTACCGGCAGCCGAAAAAGCTCAAGACAACCCACTATGAAAGCAGAGTTCAGTCTACTATGAGGGTCTCAATGGGGTGGTGGCCTTTACGGTTATCGGCTAAAATTTTGGTTCTTTTACGGCTATCGGTTAATTTTTTTCAGTTACGGTTAACGAAAAGTTAAAAATTAACTTCGTTTGTTTCAACTGCAGTTAAATATTAATTAACCTGTATTTTTTTGAATAAAGGTCTTCGGATCATCTCGGGATGAAATAAGATATTCTTTTGAAAAAATTTTACATTTGATAGATCATACTTTTTATAAAGTATTCCACTTCTAATATTATTATACACTTAGAAATGTCAATAGTCAATTTAAAAATAATCTTTGTGAAAAAGCAAAGGTAGACACGCGAACGCCCAACTCAACGCCGGGGCGCGACATTCATTATAACCGAAATGGCCGTTTTCACACTAGAGAAGGACCATTCGTGTGAGACGGGTTATCCGTTTGATGATTCGCGTCAGATAAGTAATACGTCTTAATTTGAAGATGGAATAGTTTTAATTTTGAATGAACAATCCACCTGACTTTTGAGGACGGGATTATCGGTTCCAGATAGCCTGTGTAAAGCCGCGCCCTCCACTCAGAAAATTTCGGAGAAGGGGTGTCTGTGGAGAGGACGTGACTGCACATAGGCTAGTCTCAGACAGATGATCCATTTCTAGCTCTAGTGTGAAAACGGCCAATAACAAAATTCCCGTTTCCAGTGTTTTTAATGATAGCGAAGGACTGTACGGAACTACTGTCTACCGTTGCCTTGTCCGTAAGCCGCATTATTCCGCGCGGCTAATGCGTTTCGGGTCACGTGGTCCGAGCGAGTTTGCCTTGACCGAGATTGCGTGGGAAGACGCCCGCCGTACAGGTACTAGGCATGGCAATGTCTGCGGTAGGGAAATGTTGTTTATCGGCAACGTGTTTTACAAACAGTGACATCTCTGCGTGTTGTTTCATTAGTGTTTCGAGAATGAATCGATAACTCTATATCTGAACAAAATCAAGACTAGCGACTTCTATACGTTATTATGCACAAAAATCCACACAACAGGTCATTCTGGGCCACAGAGATGGAGCAAAGATCTTTCCTTGGATGAAGATAAATGGGAAAAAATATTCACCTCCCTAAAAACCGTCTGTAGAGAGACC